AGATTTCTTTGGAGAACAAGATAAGGACATTGCATTCTTTAAATCTCTCTAACACTGATGTGTATTTTTGGCATGAACTGTGTTTATAGCTGCACTCTGCATAACAATATAAAACCAAATAAAATTCAAATAATAGCATATAAACAATAGCTCTTCTTGTAGTAAAACTATTATTACAAACAACTTTTTTCGAGATACGTATCTCCTTAGACAATCTATGCATCCCACTCCCTTAACAGCTTTAGATGGCTTATAGAAGTGTTGGAACAATTTCTATAACGGTATTAGAAGAACAAGGTAAATAAGTATGTATGGTATAAGTAATGTGTAAGAAGGAAGGGCTTACTTCAACTTCAGTGATAATTTAGAAATATAAGGGATTGCTTCTGCTGTTATAGTTTTATGAAGCAGATATCACATACTAATTATATAAATATTTATGACATCTTGTTTTGAGAGTTTACTGTCTCCCAAATGTGATTATTCTGACTGGCAGCTCATTGCTACAATTAAAATGAATCTGTAAGAAATATTCGGCCTTTCTTATAGGAATAACTACTGGTTAGACACAGACCAAGTTAGTTGTACTACATTTTCAAATTTGCAAGATTTTTGCACAATTTAAACTAGGAACAAGCAAAAACTATAAGGAATAAGGCTTCAATGGTAGAAAATTTGTATATTTTCTTTCATACCGGTGCTATTACAAAATCAATGCATTCTTATCTGTGAATCTGGATCCAATATTATGAAATATTTTTTACAAGCCAATTTCCACTTAAAAGGCACCAACCTTCTCAGGTGTTAGTTTCATAAGTTCCATCTTTTCCATACTATGGCGACGTCCTATTCTCTGTCTAGTGCCTTGAATTACAGAAATTAAGTAATGTGTTACTTTGAAGAAACATTGATGGGAGAACTTAATGGAGTTATCAACACATAATGTTTACTGAAGATGATCATCCCACTGAGACTAATAACAGCAACTCTTCTACATGTTAAGATTTATTGCAAAAGCCCTGAACATCATGCTCATATAATTGATCACCTATTAATTTGAGGTAAAAACTGTTTTTCAGTTTCCTATACTAAGCCAGGCATTTAAAATGTTCCAATGGAGCCAAAGGAAACCACTTAAAAGCCGAAAAACCTGAAGGAGAGGACTCCCTGTCCACACATCCTGAAGACTGAGCTAGCTCACCCCAGGCATGCAATCTTCAACAACTGCTGAGGTAGGGTAGGGATAACTCACTGCACCTCCAACATTTTGTCTCTGCTTACATTTTTTTTAACTACAAAGTTCAGTAGTTGCAAACTATCTTTAAAAGACCGCATAAATTGCCCTGTATACTTTTTGGTGTTCCTCATCAAACATTTAGGCTGCCTAGACTTCAAACCCAATCCTGAATCTATTTACACACCATTCCTGCAATCATCCGATTGTCAAAAATGCATAACACTTCCAAAAGTATTTAAATAAGCAACAACAAATGACTTTAAAGTCCCAATTTGCAGCATGAGAGGACAATTTTTCAGGGGAGATGATACATGCTGGGATAACCTACCCTAGGAAGGGTAGGTTAGCCCAGTAGCAACCCCCATCAATAAAATTTTAAATGTAGTAAAATCTCAATTGCTGACTTATTGCGTGAAAAATTAATGTCTGTAATATTTACAATCCTGAAGTCACAGAATTCATATTTCTATGGCATCTGCAGAAATGTGAAAAACTTACTTTCACAGAAGTTTCCAATTATCTTTAGCTCTGAGGAAATTAATGAAACTTCTGATTAAGTTTATAACATGCTGATTATTTGGAAGTTTTATCCATTCTTTTGACTTCTATATACGTGAAAGATTTACATTTTCTGGTACATTTTCTTCTACATACTTGAATGATTTACATTTTCGTACATATTTACATATACCTAGATAACTTTCACATTCTTACAGGCAAAAGAACAAATCCATTTTTCCCACTATGATGGAGATTCCACCATAGGGAACAGGTGAGTCATCAAGCCCAATCATACTTTTCACATACAGAATTTAAAGTGAATCTTCATTATGCTTATGGACAATCCTTTCAAATAAATGAAAACACTGTTCTTCAAAATACTCACAATTAATTGAGACTATTATTTTGATTACTACTACTATAGTATAGTTGGCTCTGAGTTTTAAGCCAGATTCAGACTGTGTTCCAACTGATTTTTTCTTTTGAATTTTGTAATACCATAAATTTACTCCTTGGTGTTTTAATGAGCCATATGTTAGTTATTGGTCTTTAATAGTTAGTCAATACCCTAACTTTGCTTTTTATTGGAATTATTTGGAAAAGAATCTAAGCCTTGGCAGAATATTTATTTTTACAGTTGAGATTCTTTCTAAGCAAGACAGTTTTAGCTTTCTTCATCTTAGGATATCTGCCATTACAGTTTTCCAAATAAGTGAGTAATTATTTTGAAATAGGTCTTTATTATTATTATTTTTTTGTCAAGTAAATTTCCAGGTATTTAATCTTCTTAGCAGTAACATTAAATCCCATTTTTTGTGCAGGTACTGCTTTTCTCTTTTTCAGATAAGTTCCATGTCAGCATGTGAGTCTTTTTCTTGTTCATCTGATACCGTGATTCTGAATGACACTGCTATATATATTCCATTATGAATAGTAAAGAGTCTTCTGGATGTAAATATAATACTATCAACATATAATTTCAATTTTTGTTTTGCTTGGTTTGGTAATATAATTCTTGAAATTTTATTTTCTCATACCTTCTTTGCCAATGATTCTAATGCCAGTAAAAATAAAGAAGGATAGAAGAGGAGAGGAGAGGAGAGAAGAGAAGAGACAGACTTGTCTTGTTCCTTTCATTATAGTACATTTTTGTGACAGGAAACCATTTACTATTATCTTGGCCTCTTCTTTATAAATACTCTAATCCAGTTTGGGCCACCTTTCAGGTTATCAAAAGATTTCTCTGCATCAAGAAAAATCATAGCTGCTCTATTGAGCAACCACATTTTACACCAATAGTAGTTTTCAAGTTTTCAAATAAGGCATGTATTTATTATTGGAGAATGTGACTCTTACCACATTTCAATTCTCAATCTTTTTTGTAAGAAATTTGTACAAGGAGATTTATGAGGCTATGGTCTCACACTAGCTTCACTAGCCACAAAGGTGTTGGCTTACAAATCTTTGGACAAATACACTTTTTGTACAATTTAATCTAGGGACAAACTATAAGGAATGTTTCTATGGTGGAAATCTCTATACTAGCAATATTGACTTTCCTCCATACCTATGGTAAGTATTACAAGATCAATGCATTATTTTCTACGGATTTTACATTTAGCAGAAAGATCCAGCAGAGTTCACTTCTCGTACTGTCTTTTAACTTGGAGAAACAGTACTATACTTTTATCAAGATTCTGGAACACCTTCTAGAACTCAAAAGAAAGGGAACTTCTATGAATTCTTTCCCTCTATGTCACCATCAAGACATTCCATCCATTACTCTTTCTTCTAACAGATGCATCTGACAAAACCTGTATAACCTCACCTTGGCAATTACTTTAAGAATACCTTTTGGAAGACACAACATAATTTATTCAGAGTATTATTTCAACTATACCTAGTTCCTAATTCATATCTTTAAAACAATTTCTATAAATCTTTTGCAAGTTATTACTTGAAATAATGAAGTGACTTGTAGGAATAGGCAAATTATTTTTTGTAGAAAACAAATCAAAACCAGAGTAGCCCTCCTGGAGGAAAGCAACTTGTGTGGAGATAAACCAAGAGATAGGAGCAAAGGATTTTACACACACACACACACACACATTTTTATACCACTATTAACCTTATAATATCATATAACTTTACAAAAAGTAATAAAAACTCTAAAATGATATACAGTAAAATACAAGTAATGAAAGGCAAGGAATTACATATAAATTATGTTTACATGGAATTGTAACCCAGGATTCTGGAAAATCCTTACTAATTGTTAATTAGCCACATACTGATAAGGCAACCTGTTCATTCTCACTAGAATCCTCTTCTGCTTAGCATCCTCAATAGGTTATTTCCTTGGCACTGATAATGGCAGTAGAGACCACAAGTTCTTCTGTGGGTAACAGAAAACTTGACTGATCTCTCAAAGAGATGAAGGAACATCCATATAATTTTGGGGACTTGGAAAGAAGTATGGAGAAAGACGATAGTTCTTTGGAACCTGCCACCCTTAAAGCTCGTTCCCAAAGACAGGTCATAAATAAGAACAATTGCCATGAGTCTGTTTCCTAAATGCCTGGCAGCACTCAGAAGTATCTACTGTGTAACTTCCACTGAGCTCAAAAAGTTTATTCCCATTCGAGAGGAAGTTTGCTCCTGCAATGCAGGCACCTTCAAAATAGGACCACTAAGGCCAGATGCCTGTGGGAAGATGATAAGATGTTCTAATAAACAATACAGAAGAGTTTTGAGGAACAGCTGAGATAAGATTATAGAAACATGAGGGAAACATTAAGGAAAAAAAAAGATTAAGCAATAAAGCAAACGGACAATTGGCTCAAGAATGAATGTGCTAAAAATGGGGCAGTTGAAAACACAATAAAAAGTTCTGGCACACCTACTATGGCATGCATGGGGAGCAAGGCTCTCATCAAACAACTTTAAAAGCTCTGGAATGTTTTGAATGTGGCTCTTTGCAGGTGTATGTCCTGTTTTAGTAATCATGGAGAACACAATGAAGAACTGAAGATTAATAAAGAAGAATATTAAAATTTATTGAGCATATTTACCATTTAAGTTATAATCTGGAATCTGATTTTCAGTCATCATTGAGTTGTTTGTGCTGAAACTAAGACCAAGTACCATTTGAAGATCTGAGAGATTAAGTTTAGCTGTTAATTCTCCAGTCTTATCTCCAACCTGTAATCAAATATATTTGTCTAAGGAGAAATGATTTTATTTATTTAAAACATTTGAATCACACTCATCAATCTGAAACAATCTCAGAATGACTTACAGAATATAAAGCTACAAGCTGCCCTCAAGCTTTCAGTCTGTTTTCCTTACATTATATTTAATCAATTTATTCCAATTACATCCATATATTATTTTATTTGAAAAAAGGCATACAGCAAAGAACTAAGAATATGTGCACATACCTCTCTTGAAATATCTAAATGTTTTTCTGCATAATGCATAGCTTGATCATGGTTCCCCAAAGCTGTGCATGCATTCCCTAAACTCCAGCATGCTCTTCCTTCACCAATTCTGAAATACAGTTCAATAATATACACATCAAATACTCTATTTAAAAACAAAGGAGAGATTTTAAATAAATAAATAAATACATTCAATTTCAAATAGTTACGTACAATTCAAGGACTCTTGAAAACCTTTGGCATAGTATCCAAACTCATTCTAAGAGCTGTCACTAGATGTAATGTTTAATAGAAGGAAAAACATATGCAGGGCACAATCACATTAACTGTAATTTACTTTAATTTATTAAAATCAAACTTAGATTTTGTCTTGTCCTGCCTACTTCAATATATCAGCCCCAAAATGCTGTGAAAAAAATACTTCATGATAGCAACATTTCAATTAACAAATTGCCTTGGGACTATAAAGCTAAGATACAGAAAGCACATTAATCTCAGTGATAATGGTAATCAGTATAGAATAAATATTTATTCATTACTGGATTATTTTTAGAGATTAAACATTAAAAGATAACTCTCTACCTTCCCTACTTCAAAAGTGCTTCATGTTTCTGCTGAAAAATTCCAAAGCAATTTATAATGGAGACTAGGTGGGAAATTAAAAAAGATCTGGCAAACCACATCTATATTAGTGTCAAAAAAGCTGCATGGCTAAATCCATATAGAAGTCACACTTGATTTAACAGCGTCTTTATGAATAGCTACATCTCAAAAGATTGACAAACTCTTGTATTTAGCTAAAGTTGCTTATTTAGATTGATGTAAGAATGTAAACTGAACCATAGTGAACCAGATCAAACGCCTATCTAGTCCACCAGTTTTTCCTCTTCCCATCCAAATGCCAATGGGAAAGCCAAAATCTTTGATTTGTGCTCCAGGTAACTAATATTGCAGCATACTCCCCCAAATAACAGAGATAATATGTTTATTACTGCCATTAATAGTACAATCCTCTATTAAAGTGTTTAGCACTGGAGATCCTGCCTATAGAAATAAGGCAATATTCCCATATGGAACAAAAAACTGTATTAATATACAGGTAGTCCCCGGGTTAAGAATGCCCGGTTTACAGACGACCCACAGTTAAGAAAGGAACCTATTGTAGCAAAATTTGAGTTAAATACACAATGATTCGAGTTAATTACACAATACTACTGATACAGTATTATACAATAATGCTGTTCCAGCTAACATACAAATTCAGCTTAAGGACAGACCTTGGGAACGGAACTCATTCTTAAACTGGGGACTACCTGTATAGAGATGAATTTAAAACTCTTACCTATCATTTAGTTCTTCAGCAATTGCTAAGTGTTTCAGATGATAATCTATGGCCTTCTCATAGTCCTGAAGTAAGGTATATGTATTTCCAAGGCTGTAACATGCCTGTGCTTCCACAGCCCTATCTTTAAGTTGCCTTGCAAGCTGCAGTGTCTTCCTAAAGAACAAATAGACACAATCTTTACTTATGCTATTCAAACCACCATCATCAATGTATCAGCATAAGTTGATATGAGATTTACTGGATCTGTTATAAAATTCAATGCAATATATACTTTCAAATAATCTGGAAAAACATTTTATTTAAAAAATTAAACAAGTCTTTTTAAAATCAGTATATAATATATCATAGCACATATTAATATTGAAAATGTTTTGCTGCCATTTACCTATTTGTCAACCAATTAACAGTGATAAGTAAAAATCAGTGGAAAAATTAGAAGTGGTAAGTAAGCAGTATGTCAGGAAAGCTAGTCATCACTGGCATTCTTAGAAATCCCTGACAAATCTAAGGATTCCTCAAATCATATTTGCAATTTACTAGCATGAGGATGTACATAATGTTGCTTTATAGACAACACTACATACTTCTTTTATGTGTCATCAAGCTGGTGTTGACTTTTAGTGATCACCTAGATAAACCTTTTTTAGGATGATCTGTCCCCAACGTGGCCCTTCAGGTCTTCTGATGGTGAACCCATCCCCACTGTAATCAAATTCATCCACCTTGCTGCTGGACATCATCTTCTTCTCTTTCTTTCTGACTTTCCTAGCATTACAGACTTCTCAAGAGAACTAAGTCTTTGCATGTGTTAAAAGTGTTGATAATCTGTGCCTGGTCATTTGTGCCTCATGAGAACTTTGGATTAATTTATTCTTCTTGGCTATTCATGGTATTCTCAGGAATCTTCTCCAATAGCAAAGTTTAAAAGCATCAATACTTTTTCTACCTGGCTTCTTCAAAGTCCAACTCTGAACCTGACTATGGTGGCTCACGCCCTCATCACCACAGGCATAAGACTACTGCAGCATGCTGTATATGAGGCTGCCTTTAAAGATACCTGGAAGCTTCAGTTGGTGCAAAATGCAGTGGCACCAGTTCTCATGGGTGCTTGCCAGTACATTACACCTATTTTGGTGGCCTTGCATTGGCTTCCTATCTGTAGAGAGAAAAGGGAATGACCTTGAAGGACAGGAGGAAGAGCCGCTACTAAGGCAATGGTTAGATAAGAAGAGCTTGAGCCCGGACCAAGAAAATAGCTTGAGAAAATGTCTCAGACAAGTCCCTCTGTAGTTCATATGAAAATAAAGTGAGGGACACGGAAGCACATTTAGACCTGCATGATTCTGTCACTATAGCTGCTACAATAAAAGTAGTCCTGACCTATATGGCATTGGTTTCTTACCTGGCCTACTTTGTTTAGTGACACTACCAACTACCAAGCGCAATTTAAAGTGCCAGTTTTAACCTATAAAGCCCTTTATAAATTAGTCCCGGTTACTTGCAGAATCACATCTCTCTACTGGAATTGACCCAACTGCTTCAATCATGCCAGGGGAAACAGCTGGTTGTCCCTCTTTCTCAAGAGGTCAGAGGGGCTGAGTCCAGAGACGTTTTTCTGTCATCAACCCAGCTCTCCTGAATGACCTCCTATGAGAAGTTTGGCTCCAGCTCCAGTTGTCATCTGGAACCTTCCTAAAATTGAGCTTTTCTAGAGGGTTTTCAGGGGCCAACACCAGATCTTTTTGGATTTGTCTATTTTTGACCGCTGATTTTGTATTTTTAATTTTTTACTGGTTTTTAAGTTGTAAGCCACTAGGAATCTGTATAGTATTGCAGTGGGGTATAAATATGATAAATAAATAAATATTTGCCTCCATAGA